TGTTCTTCATCCTTATTCTATAATTATTTTATTCATTCATGGAGAGGTTGTAGGTTTATGTATTTTGTATATATATGTAATACACTGTTAAGAAATCTGAGGAGCTAAATTTATGTGTAAAGAATGGGTGTAATTCTTAGTTCAAAAATTCTGCACAGAATCACGAATTTTAAAAATCAAGAAACCATATCAAACGGATGAGTTTTAATCTGAAATTTTACAGTAGATCAATTACATATTTAATTGCATATCTGAATTTTTTCATAATTTTTGGGAGTCAAAATCCATATAAATTGAGATATTCAAATCTGTCCAGGAAACCAGTCCGAAACAGTAAATTCGGGAGTGTTGTTCTCTTTGGGTATAAATCCAAAAATTATGAAATTAGTGTCATTAGAACCGGTTATGAGTCTAGTTTCGTACTTTTTTGGCCTTGCATTGATTTCTCATGTATATTAAGAGAACCGCCAAATTCTTTAAAGTAGTGCAGAGAACAACCTGTTTGGATATAATAAATTGTAGATAATTATTTTGATAAGCAAATCAAGTGAAACCAATTGGGTTTGAAACTTAGGATATATTAGATCATATCTGGAGGTTATTGGAATTTTTTGAATAGCGTGGAGTGGGTTTTTAATTTTCAAAGTTAGCGAATAGGTTAGGAAGGCTTGTTTGAAATTCTGTTTTATCTTAAAGTCACAATTAATTAAGTTTTGACCGGAACCCATGTCTTGGGTGATTTTAAACGTTGAAGAACATTAACTTAGCTAATATTTAAGAGTAACGGTGAGTTGGGTTGAGCCGTGTTAGTGCGCCTTAGTTGAGGTTACTTAGTTCCTATTTTGTAGTATTTTAAATTAGTTGTGACGTGTAGTTTTTTTTTATACTTCGTTCAGGGCGCTAGTTGGACTTTTACACTCTATTCGATTCAAGGATTATATCATTTCGTTTCAGGTGAGTAGTTTCAATTGTGGTATCAGAGCTGTAGTTTATCGAGTGACATATCTTGCATTTCATCATTTAGACGAGGTCCGAGTCCCTATAGTCCTTAGTATTGTATGGTTAAGTTAGTTTTTTTTAAGCTTATGTTGAATCTTTCTTGATTTCATTTTGAAGATTAAGAGTTGGTACCTAGATATTTACACGGATTTTCGATTCTTTGTGAACCTTTGATGTTTGTATTACCTTGTCTACTCCATTAGGTGGAACAGTAGTATTGGGAGAAATAGTAGTGTTAGGGGATGATTGTAGATCTTGTGAGATAGAGATGGATGGTAGAATTTTTCCAGTGGATTTGATTTCTTTAGAGATGAGGATTTTGATGTGATTTTGGAGATGGATTTGTTGACGAAGCATCATGCTTCTATTGATTGTTTTAGAATGGGAGTAGTTTTTGCTATGCTAGGACAACTTGAGTTTTTCTTTTAGGGAGATAAGAAAGGGTCTTCTATCTGTTTTACTTCTTTCCTTTAGGCTAACCGAATGTTGAGAAAAGGTATCACGGTTACTTAACTTGTGTGGTGAGTATTGAACTGCCATAATGGAAGTTAGAGGAGTTGCCTGTAGTAAGTGATTCTAAAGGATCTACCTAGACTTCCTCTAGATCGTGAGGTAGAATTTTCCATTAACTTGGTCCCTGACACAACACTTATTTCTAAAGCGCCCTATAGAATGGCGCCGTTGGAGTTGAGGAAGTTACAAACTCAGTTATAGGAGTTGTTAGACAAAGGTTTTATTAGGCCTAGCATGTCACCTTGGGGAGCACCTGTGTTATTTGTGAAGAAGAATGATGGGTCTATGAGGTTGTGTATTGATTGTTGAGAACCGAACAAAGTCACAGTGAAGAATATGTATCCTTTGCCACGTATTGTTGACATATTTGACCAATTGCAGGGAGCTTAGGTATTCTCTAAGATGGACTTGAGGTCAGGCTATCACTAGTTGAAGGTAAGGAATAAGGATGTTCCTAAGACAGCTTTTAGAATCCGTTATGGACATTATGAGTTCTTGGTGATGCCTTTTGGTCTCACAAATACAACAGCCGCATTCATGGATTTGATGAACAGAGTATCCAAACCCCAACTAGATAAATTGTGGTAATGATTATTGATGACATCCTAATTTATTCGAGGAGTAAAGAGGAGCATGAGCAGTATTTGAGGGTAGTATTTTAGATCCTTAGGGAGAAGAGATTGTGTGCAAAATTTAAGAAGTGTGAATTCTAGTTGAGTAGTGTATCCATGTCTTGGGTGATTTTAAACGTTGAAGAACATTAACTTAGCTAATATTTAAGAGTAACGGTAAGTTGGGTTGAGCCGTGTTAGTGCGCCTTAGTTGAGGTTACTTAGTTCCTATTTTGTAGTATTTTAAATTAGTTGTGACGTGTAGTTTTTTTTTATACTTCGTTCAGGGTACTAGTTGGACTTTTACACTCTATTCGATTCAAGGATTATATCATTTCATTTCAGGTGAGTAGTTTCATGCTACATATTTTTATAAATATTTCCCTACCCTGAACTGTTGGAAAATTAAATCGTTGTTTCATAATTAAACTGTTTTGATAAATTATTATATTATCAATTGAATCAAATTATTTCTGAAACATGTGTGAACTTGGCATACTGTAAACTATTTATTTTGATCTCATGTTTATAATGATGAACCACCATGTTTTGCGAAACTTATGTGTATTGATTATTGGGACCATGTGTGTATTTAGTCCAGGGAAATTATTCCACTGTGTGTGGTGACTCTGGCCACTAGGGAACAGATCCGGGTTGGGCCGTGATGACTCTAGTGCTCAACGATTGTAAGGAAAAGACCTTTAAAAATAACTAGGTGACCTTCAATCGGATCGTCTTTGAGAAAAGGCCCAGGTGCCACCCTAAGGATGACTCTTAGTTCGGTATTGGATCCAACGGGGCTTATAGCCTGAGAAATGTGTGGCAGATTATTTGTTTTTATTGGTACCCAGAAAATTATTGGTGTTCATGTTATAATCTGTTTTAAGTGGAAAATGTCGTTTATCATGTTCTTGCGAGACATGAGTATTTTAAGTGTTGAACTGTGGAACCTTCTTTTTGAAACAGATAGTATTTACCAAACTGTATGCCAATCTAGTTTCTGTGATATATATCTTATTTTGGAGTTGAACCCTGTTTTCAAAACTGTATTTACTATCCATGTTGCTACTCACTGAGCTATCAGCTGACTTAGTTTTTATCACTTCCAGGTGTTAGAAGGACTTAGAGTGGACTCATGGCATAGCGAGGACTCGATTGCATGGACCTCTAGGACATTCATTTATTTTGTTTTAGATTGTTATGTCAAATTTGTGCATATTTCTTTTTATTTTTATTGAGATTCATTTAGGATTATTTTGATATGTGGGTTGTTTATATCCCATAAGTTTGGATGGTTTTGATTACGGTTGGTTTTTTCCGTTTATACTTGTGGCATGTCACTGGATTGAGTTTGGTTATTTATTACTGGACTTTTGTATAGTTGCTCAATGTGATTATGGATTAGTGGTTAGGCTTACGTGTGCCTTGGGCTGAGTCCCTCTGGGCCACGGCCGGTCATACCCGGATTTGGGGTGTGACACCTGTTTTCACAATATTAAGAAACAAGGTCCAAGAATGAAGATGGGTTGGAATTTCTATTTGCATTCATGCTATCAATTGGAGACCATTCGACAATTAATATTGTGATACTTGACTGAAACAAGCCTTTTATGTAAAATTTTAGAATTTGTATCTGATTCAGATTTACCCTATAATATAAATACATATACATATATCAATTATGACTTTTACTTCTTGATTAATAGTTTCGTTCTCTTTTGTTTTGTTATCTTTTAATAGTTTCCTAGCTTGGAATAGATGGATCCATGTAGCAACCCTGAGTATTTAGGACAAAGACTCATTGAGTTGAGTGAAGTTTTCCTGGTTTTGAGCAGTTCAGGATTTATATGTTTTTCACTTGTGGTATTACATTAATAGCTAGTTAAAAAAAATGACGAGTCTTGGAAAACTATCACTCAAATATGATGTTGAATTATAGGAAAGTGAAAGTGAAGAAAGTGAAAGTGAAGAAGACATTCTTGATGAAAGTGATGAGGAGGCAGATGAAGAGCATAATTAAGAACCAGAGGTCCCAGTACAACCCGAGCCTATGGTAAATAAGGCCCCTGAAGTTTCTTCAGCACCTAAAGAGGCAACCAGAGAAAATTTCTTCCAACTTCATTCCTCATCTTTCCTAAATTCTCTTGTTTGCTTATAATTATTGTTTTCCTTTTGCTTCTGAATAATAATGAAGCCTTGTAAATGCACCCTGTAATAAATTACAGATTTATAGTCTAGAAAAATTCTCAACAATTCGAATTTATAGTCCAGAGAAATTCTCAATAATAATAAAGCCTTGTGAACCAGAATTTCTCTGTAAAGTCCAGGAAAAATTCGTCTAGAGAAATTCTCTGTGAAGTCCAGAGAAAATTCGTCCAGAGAAATTCTTTAGATCGAATTTTCCCTGGATCGATGTTGAGGGACCTTAGACATTATGAAAATATTGAGTATCCTTTATACTATAAAATCTTAATGCCAGAGATCTTAAAAAAAAATCTGCATTTTACTATGATTTATTTTCTATAGGATTTGATGGGAATTAAGCCCAATTATTAAGACCTATAGAAAGTATATTTTAGGCATTTTATGAATACCTACATCGAGTTTAATGATTAAAATATTATTTTTTTTTGTTGATTTTACTTAACAAAAACAGACAAATGGTTTAAATTAAAATCAAAAAATTAGAATTTAAATTGATAAAATTAAGGACTCTTGATTTATTTTGTTACATGGCTCAAACCTTGACGTTTTTTATGTAATTGTCTGAAACAACAATTGTCAGATGCCTTTTTGTTCTCAATTGCTGCTCGGGCATCAGTCATTGGGAGATATAGGATTGCTAATTTGCTACATCAACAAGTGAGTTCAAGGAAAGAAATTAACATGTTGCCCATAATAATCAAGGCCATGATTAATTTTATATTGATGCAGTACTATAGGAAGTACACCGTTTTGCAATAGCTATAAACAACCAATAACTGAGAAATAGTAGAATTAATAAGCGATACATATTATTCTACATAGGAATGTCTTTCATTTTTAAATTTTATGCAGTGGGATATGAAGCCATCATTGCAATGCCACAAAGGCCTTCCTGAGCATCGATGTCTCTCTGCATCCTTATATATCCAGCTTCACCCCATCCCGTGCCCCATGAGTTTTTAACAAGCCAATACTTAGTCCCGTCAGCAGCAGTCCCATAACCAACAGCAGTGACACCATGGTCTAGTTGAGTGCCACAGGTTCCTGTAAAGACTCCACTTGAGTAGAATTGGAAGTCAGATCCACTCGCATCAATGGCAACAGAGATAGGTTGATTAGCAACAGCCTTAAGTAGTGCACTCTCACTGTTGGCAGGCACATCTTCATACCCAGTTATCTTGGCTGCATGGTTTGCTGCTTTGTTTTTGTTGCAAGTGTCATCAGTTCCCTTGTATGGGTAGTTTGTTTCAGTGGTCAGGCCATTGTTCTGTTCAATGAATTTAAAGGCCTCATCCATAAGACCACCGCCGCAACCTTGATCTTCACCGGATACGTCACAATCAACTAGCTCTTGCTCAGATAACGAGATTAACTTACGTGTTGTTAATTGATTAATTCCTTCCATGGCTGCCACAGCCGAAAATGCCCAGCAACATCCTATATGTTGATAACAAATAAAAGGGTTACAAAACAACAAGCATCATAGTCATTTTTCTTTTATGCATTGCAGTCTAAAAAATTATTACTTACCACATTGGCCTTGGTCCTTAACAGGTGTTACAGCGCCTTTCTTCCTCCAGTCCATGGTAGCTGGCACTGCACTCACATTTTCATATTTAAAAGGTGTTGTTGAGGAGCATTCGTGACTCTTGAATCTGTTGCGCAGTTTGAACTCTTCATTTGTAAGATCAGCAAATTGATTAACCCCAAGCTTGTAAGGCTTGTTTGAAGCTTTGTTAAAAGATTCTATCATTTCCACGTTGGCCTTGAATATCTTGAAACGTTCCTCCTTCTCAGCAGCATCCTTGTAGACACGGCCAAAGCTAGTCATCCATTGCTCATGCCTCTCATACATTGATTCCTCTTGAAGGGAACGAGATGCAACTTGAGAAGCCAAAGTTCCCAAAATGAATAGCAAGGTGAAAAGGATGGATCGGTACAGCTGCTGGTTTTTGGAATCCATGGTTCTTCTGCTAATTAGAGGTAGGAAAGGAAACTGATAGACTGAGTTGGGAGGTGCAATGAATTCTGCATCGGATTTGGGCTTTATATAGAGTAATATGATTTTGTCACAATGCATACTATTGTTGTGGTTCTTTAATGAAAATAAAAATTATTGCTCTCTACGTGCCTTAATAAAATGTTATGACTTAGACTTAGCACATTATTTATGTTGATTAACAGGATTTCATTTGATTACTCTTTATGATTATGTCAGATATTTGTATCTAATAGTCCTAATTCGTATAGTTTATGGGTAATGTACAATAATGAATGATATCAATGCAGCTAGTTATTTGGTCACAAGATAGTTTTTTAGGTGTATCATTATATGACAAAAATTCCTCTGGATTGATGGTACGGAACGTTTCATGACACAGCTTTCTTTTATCAGGTACATGACCATACTATTGATGGTTACCAAAAAAATGAGGTTGATTAAGGCTATGATTGGATCATAGATTTGGGTAGAGATTTGAAAAAAAAAAAAAAATGTGGATGAAATGTAGTTATATTTATTCATGTTTCACCTACTTTTTTTTCCTCTCTCTTTCTCTTTTCAAATCCTTATCTAAATTTATGATCCAAACCCAGCCTGAGTGGTTATTATGCTATACAAATATAGTTTATATACAAAAATTCTATATCAATTTATATTAAAAGGGAAGGGGGGGGGAGGATTTACAAATGAGAAATGCTAGAAAACTATAATTTTAAACCCATAATAATGTGACAAGGGAATTGGATCTTGTATGGTTGAATATGTGGCAAATTACAAGTTGATACCTATCATGCTATATTATCGTGGGTCAAATTGGCAGAATTTTTTTATAAGTCTCAAAACACTTTCCAAACAGATATATGGTACAAAACATGGAGTGCGATTTTGTTCGCATGTACTATATATCAAAATATGTGAATAAAATACAAATATTGATTAGCTCGAAAAAATGGAAATCACAATTTTAGTTAGGGCCATCACTTAGACAGTGTGAACGAAAATTTAAATTCCAAAACAAGGCACATAATTTGGACAAACTAAGGCCTCGTTTGTCAATAGACCACTATAAGTTATCATATCACTCTCTCTACTTTTTTACATATTTTTTTTATAAAAAGTCAAAAAAATAAACAAAATTAGCCAATTTCCAATGAGCTCTAAGTTACATTTTATGAGTAGAAGTATTCTTGTCAGAAAATTTATCAAAGCTGCAAGCCTGCAAATGAAAAAATATTACAGCAATCATGTAATTGTTAGTGTGTGAGTGATTTTCTGATCACACTGCCCGCTTAGTAATCAGCTAGAGAGCACTGGTAGAATAGATGGCTTCAGTTATCCTGCAACAGAAAGAAAAGGCTCCGTCGGTGGCTCCTCCACCCAAGGGCACTCCAACGATCAAGTCAGTATATCTCTCAAAGATAATCAAGTGCTAAACTCACTGCTCAAAGCATAAATTGCGTACCTTAGACCCACGGGAGTGCCTTTCTTTTATAGTATACTTAATCCTAGTCCCACTAGAAGCCTGACTTCTATGGATTCCTGTTCAATACTTACCCTGGACTCTTCAAGAGATAAAGATAAACTTTCTAAAAGCTTTATCCTTATCTTGGCTAAATCTCCTCTTTATTCTAAGACTCTTGTCCCTTATCTTTTATCCTCTTATCTCGGATTCCGATATCTTCGGAGATAACCTCGGCCCTGCCGAGATAACCTCGGTGTCATGACCAGGACACGTGGCACCTCGGCTGACACGTCGACGTCACCCTGCCACGTGTTGAATCAGAAAATATATCCCCACAACTGCCCCCTAGGTTCTATTATTTCGGCATTCTGAGGTGATGGAACCTATATCATTCCATTTTTCCAGTACGTCGATTTTCAGTATCTCAACCGAGATCATAATTTTGGCCGATATCTTTTTATTGAAGAACAAGAATTTCAAGAACCCTTCCACGCGTATGAGCTGTCATACACCATAATTCAATCGTTTTTAACCACGCGTTCCTTTCTTACTGGTTCGTACCTGTGACGCGCCCATAAGCCGTCTCTTTCTCACGTGCGCCGTCTGACGTATGCGTTCTTCTAGGTGTATTGATTATTTTTGCCGCCGTTTTCATTTTTGACAAAAACTTTTCCCCCCTTTCTTCATTTTTCCACTTTTGCGTCTGATTTCTCTTGCTTTTTCTCTCTTTAAACTCTTTCTTTCGAATCTGCCATTGCTTAAGCTCCAAGCTCTGCAGTTGTCTCCCGTTCTCCCTTCCTGTGAAGCTTTCGTCGTTCTCGTTACATCCGTAACTGTCGTCTGACTCCGACAATCTTCATACCGGCTTCACTTTTTTCTGGTAAGCTACTGTTCCTTTCGTTTTCAATTCTGTTGATATTCTTCATTACTTGTTGCCTTTACTGCATCTGTTGAAACTTTTAATTTGCGATTCATACACCTGAATATGTCCTTCCCATGATTGTGCCCTTGCCTATATCTTGAACACACGCATTGTTTCACTACTTCCCTGTATCTTTGTCACTAATCTTGGCCCTGTATTTCTTGTATTTTTTATGCTCTTGATAAGCCATCTCTGTCCTTGATTCTGAAATTCCATTCTTGCTTTCTATTTTTTGTTTCTTTTCCAGATCTGTGCCTTTTCCAGATCTGTGCCTTTAATCTTCATCTCCATAGTTTTAGGTTTGGGATTTGTTTGTAGAACCCACGATTTAGGGCAAAACTGAAACATTCCTTACAAATTTCTGTATCAGTCCAAACCTAGGTTTTTGCCGAGGCCCCATCAATAAGAAACATCTTCTTTCTGAATTTCAACCCTTCTAATTCAGGCCGATATCATGGGTATGTGGAGACATAGGGTAGATACCCCGACCAAACTTGATTATTTTAGGCAAGAGTTCTCCATCCCTGCCGATGTCCATCTGAGGCTAGCTGGGGATGATGACTCCATCATGCCTACAGAAAACTCTATGCCCTTTCCCATTGTAGCTTTTACTAAGTGCGGACTTCGGCTTCCACTCAACATCCTTTTTCGTGAGATTCTTCACTATTATAAGTTGAACCCCATGCAACTGGTAATCAATTCCTACCGAGTGATCAATGGCATCATAGCCTTAGCTAAACAGGAAAATGCTAGGATCACCCTATCCGATATCCAGTACTGTTATACCATGTGTGCCCTTAATTTGAAAGAAAAAGGCTACATTTATTACCTTAAGCCGAGGTCTACAGAATTTAAAATCGTAGCCGACCTCCCAGACTCCAACAAGGGGGCTGGAGATGACTA